CGGTTCACGATTTTGGATCCAATTTGAACAGTTGGTTCAAACTTTCTTTTAAAATTTTATTTTTTTATTTTTAAAATATTCTAAATTTAACACTTAATGTATTTTATTTTGGAGAAGAAAAATAAATGAAATATTTATTTTAAGGGTAAATATGTCCATTTAATATATCAGGGGAAAAAACTGCCACTTAAATAATTTAGGGAGAAAAAGTACTATAAGTATATAACAAAGGGGGGAAAAGTGCCATTTTCCCTAAAATTTATATATTTAAAATTTATGTTAAAACTACTATTAAACACCACAAAAAATTAAATTTAAAATTCTAAGAAAATAATTAAAGAAAGAAGAGTTGATTGACCAATGAATAGTAAATGAAACATGTAGAATGTAGTAGAGGAAGTATTTAATTTTCATTCATTTAAAACACTTGTAATTAACTTATTATTATTAAATATATTTAGTCATTTTTGTATTAACTTTAAATTTTAAATTAATTGTAATATAGTTTATACTTGTTTTTTTTTTTTTTTTTTTGTTTTTTGTTTTTTTGTTTTTTGGAGGGGTCGTGTGTGATATTGTTTCTTGTGAGATGAATCTCAAATATGTAATATTTTTTTTTTAAAATAAAAAATATATATTCTGTAATATTTTTTTTATAGGTTAACAAGTATTACATCTTCACTAGTACTTTTCAATGAACAAACTAAATACTCCGTAATATTTTTGAGTAAAAAAATGTAATATTTATTAACTCATAAGTCATAATAAATAGAATAATACTACACATAATTTTACTCCATTTTTTACTCCATACTTACATGACATGTTCTTATTCATCCAAAAAAAAAAAAAAAAAAAGTGAGCCTCAATTTTTATTACTTCCTTTCTCTAATATAAAAAAATCACCGACATGCTTTGAGAATTTCTCTTTAGATTTCATATATCATTTTCCTTTAAAATATTACATTTTTGTTAAAAAAAAAAAATTGTACATTTGATATTTATCTTATCCGAGAGTCAAAGACGACGATCCCCACACAAAAGTTAGTGTTCCCATTATTAGTATTACACAAGTGGCAAATGGATACCAAGTTAAAAGACATCATTTATTAGATTGAGACACAAGACCAACAAAATGTTAACATTACATACATAAATTATAAATATAATCCAAATAATCATATAACTAATTGAAGTAGATGTACAAGAAACGCACATACATATATGGGTCATCAACACTATTCAATTCTCCCAACAGCATGGCTTGCTATCAATGTCAAGAAAATGCACTCTCCATATCCTCCCAATACTATATAGAAATTGATAGGTCCATAAATCTCACATGCCATGTTTGTGTGTTAGGAGAGGAGAATATTCTCACAAAGTACAATTTCACTAATGAAAAGAAAAATCTATATACGTTGGCACCCACTTAACATTAATTATACTCACGTTATGCGTGATATCAAATGTATTATATGATACTTTTTATTTTAATTTGTGATGTAAAATATTTTTATTCAGATATTACTGTTTATAATGCATGATAAACATATGAATATTATATTATATCCGAGTATGTAGGCACTATAGACTTTGGATTGAATATAATAAATAATAGGAAGTGACACCCAAATTCTATGCACCAAATAAGGTGTAATATATGGGGTATGATATGGCTTTATTGAATGAACATTATATCCCAAACAGTAGAGATTTTGGATAAGGGAGAAGCAACAAAAAAGGCCTCCTTATCAGTATGATCTTAGAGAGTATATACATATATACACATCATTATTGCATTCATATACAACTTGGTAATATTTCTTAACTTAATTGTTTGCATTAATAAAATACAAGGAAAGTCTACCATATCGATGAATATTAATTTTTTTTTTTATATCATGCCATGAGGTGTTCTAAGCTGGCCCTAATCGTAGGACGCTGACCAGATTGATTTTTCTATATGAGAGGAGGTTTAAACTCCCGACCTCTCTTAAAAGATGAGAGTGCACGACCAGTCACGCCAACCAACTGATTATTAATATTAAAATCTTTAGTTACTAATTATATCGAATATTATACTACTACACCCAGAAATGAGAAATCATTCTAACAAAAAGGAGTAAACATTTACAAATACATTGTATTTGAACCTCACAACTCACAATCAAATTTGTTTGTAAAGACATTCAAACTCCTAACATTAGATCTACCATAACACTCAAAATCCCATTTTTAATTTTCATTTCCTCTATTGTAAGGTGCATGAGAGAGCTAGCTAGGAACATTGAATTGAACAGTTCCTTTGTGTTAAAGATATGAAATATGGTGAAGCTAAGCCATTAAGCTAAGGAAGATGATGATTTGAGGGGAGAGAGACAAGATCACATGATGATTAGTTAAAATGGAGAATATTGAGGGTAAGCTTTAGGGGCCAAGTGCCCACACATGCATTTAGCTAAAAAGAGAACTAATAATAATAAAAATAATTGAGAATTGAATTGAAGAAGAGAGAGATGAGACATTGACTAATAAATGGCCAATATTATTATATTTCAAGTGTTGAGAGTAGTGTGGGTTGGCTATATGGATGTCCATCACCTTCAGATGGGGTTGTCCCCTTGTGTTTCCTTCTTCAAGCCTCTCTCATCTCTTTCTCACCTAACGCTCACACCCATCTATTTTACACTAATTTTTTTCCCAATATTATATTCCACAAACATCTCCTAACTGCAACCACCAACATCCTGTTTTCTTCAACTAATGGTTGGAAACATCATGACAATCTTGATCATAAACCAAGGTTTTTTACTCAGATATAACATTATATTGTCACTGTGACCTGCTCTGATACCAAATGTCAAATCAAGCGCTTACCATTACGTTAAAAGTTATAATTAGTATGTAGTAAATGAACAATTTTATTTCTTTATACTTGTGTAGCAGTTATTAGTGCTACGTTTTGACAGCAGAATGCTGGACTCAACTCTCCAAGTTGTTGCCAAACAAACATATATAATATACATTTTTTTGCACTTTGATAACTTTTTGGATGAATATATGCATGGTAAACCAGATATTGAAGCAGCAGAAGTCAACCTGATGTAGTAGCTTGCTGGAATCAGTTACCCAGAATGGCAAATCCTCATCCTATCTGATCTATCAGGTTTCATAGGCCAGTGTTTATCATCTTTTCAATCATTTCCAATCTAATAGAATAATAAAGAATAAAGAAATATAATGGATGGATTCTTTTATTATTTTAACATATTATTTATATACTAAAGAGCTAGATAGCATATATACATATTCATTCTGAAATTGCATGAAGGGGGGAATGAATCTAAGAACAGGTAGGACCGAGCTGCACGTCAGTCGCAGAAATGAATGCCAGTTCATATACATATACTACAGTGTTCCCACAAACTAGTTTACAAAGCAAGACTCATTTAAGGCTCTGCCTCACTGCCGGCTTGATACGTCCCACATTGGTTATTGATGAAAATTCGAGTCAATACGATAAAATTTCAATTAAATCTGAACTAACTTTTGTAGTGAAAATAAGTTCTGAGTTCCTTTCAATCGATCGAGCCACACCACACAGGGAGCAAGAAGTCATCGTTTGTAATATATGGATCCAGAGATCAGATTGAGTCCTGACAGTCACAATGTGAGAGTGGTTCATTGTGGGCACTTTGATACTAGGCCTGTGCACAACCCGATCCACCCGAGCAAACTGACCGACCCGACGACCGAGAGAGACCAAACCGGCACTACCCGAACCCAACTCTCCATACCCGATCCGCTATTCAAAACGTCGTCGGTTAAGAGGGTTCGGGTGGGGTATGATATTTTTCCAACCGACCCGTCCGAATATCCGAACTATCCTAGGGTTCACTAAGGCTATGTGCTAAACGGCGTCGTTCCATCAAGGTATATATACATGCCTTCCACCAACCTGGTCTTCATTCTCCCATCTGCGCAGCTGACCTAGGGTTTGAGATCTCATCTCTCGACTCTCGACTCTCGACTCTCACTCTCAACTCTCTCAGACTCTCACTCTTTCAGAGTCCCAGTTCTCTCACTCAGTCACTCATCTCCGATTCTGTAAATCTGTAAGCCTCTAATATCTTACTCTCTATTTCTCTAATCTCTAATCTCTTACTTTCTAATCTGTAATCTCTAATCTCTTAATCTCTATTGTCTAATCTCAGGCTTCTCAGAATCGAAGCGTTGCAATCTCTAATCTCTTACTCTCTGTCTCTGAGAGTCTAAGTGGTGGAAGCCGTGGTGAACTGGTGATTAGAAGCTCTTGTTCTCCGGGGATTATTTGGGAGAAATCAAGTAAATCGTAAACCCTAGTTTATATTAAGAAAATGTTTGTGGCTTTGTGTTATATTATATTATTATGATGATATGTGGTGAATATTTTGAGAAAGCATTGTGAAATCGAAAACCCTAGTTTTATATATCTTGATTTATGTGAGATACTGAGATGTATTGTGTTCTGTCTCTTCTACTGTGATGAATATTTGGTGATATATTCATATATTATGCCATTATTTCATTTATTGGTGGAAGCCTTTTAGAAATTGATTTCTAAGTGTTGATTTTGTGAAATCTGGATTTTCTGCCTTGTAAATTTGTAATCTACCAATCCGAGTTAAAGGCTTAAATGTGAAATCTCCAGTGTGAGAATTTCCATTTAGTGGTGGAAGCCCTTAACATTTAACTCAAATACAGATAATGATGATCTGTAGTGAATTCCTGAATCTGGATTTGTTTGTTTAATTGTATATGTTATTATGTTTATCAGTTTATGGATGTATGACCCTTAATTGCTAATTGTTAAATCTGGAAAAATGACGACAGAAACTAGTAACTACTGTGTCTGATTCTGGATATCTTTGTATGTTTAATTGTTTATTAATAATTGTTCTAGTGTTATGTCACACTCACACAAACTGAAAAGTGAAAACTGGTACCCATCTTTGTAGATGGAAAGTGCCACTCAAATGACTCAATCTGGACTTCCACCCTCAACTGAGGAGGGGCCTGGAGGAGTAACCCTAGGCACTGAGACAAATGCTCCTCAGCAGCCTGAGGTTAATCCTGCTGTTCCTGCAAAGAAGAGGAAGAACGTGGAGTCTAGATCTAAGGTCTGGGAACATTTTGAAAAGATCTATGATTCTGAAAACAAAGTAATAAAGGGGAAATGTATATACTGTGCTAAATTCTATCAATCTGAGAGTAAAAAGCATGACACTACCTCTTTAAGAAATCATATGTATGCCTGTCTAAAAAATCCACACTCTAAGGAGACTAGGAACTCACTGCTTACTTTCACTGCTGTGACAACATTTGATACTCAAGGGGGTTCTGAAGGGGTTGTTGGGGAGTTAGGGACTTGGGTTTTCAATCAGGAAGCCATTAGGAGGGCATTATGTGAGATGATAATTATTGATGAGCTTCCATTTAGGTTTGTGGAGGGGCAAGGGTTTAAAAGGTTTATTTTGGTTGCTTGCCCTAGATTTTGTATACCTTCTAGGTGGACAATTTCAAGGGACATTTACCAAATTTACGTACCTTGATGAAAGATTAAACCTTAAGAAGCTGTTTAGACTTAACACTCAAAGGGTCAGTTTGACTACTGATACCTGGACCTCTGCCGGATCAATTATATGTGCATTACAGCCCATTTCATATATGATCAGTGGAAGCTGAATAAGAAAATCATATCCTTTGTCCCTATTTCTTCTCACATGGGTGAGCATATAGCTAAGGCATTAGAGAGTTGTTTGATTGACTGGGGGATTAGGGATGTTTTTTCTGTCACTGTAGATAATGCTTCTTCCAATGATACTGCTATGGGTTTTTTAAGTCCAAATTGTTGTCATGGGGTGCAACCACTGTTAAGAGTAAGTACATTCACATGAGGTGCATAGCCCACATTTTAAACTTGGTGGTCCAGGATGGGTTAGGTTTGCAGATAGTTCTGTTAAGAAGGTGAGGGATTCTGTTAGATGGATGAGGAACTCACCTGCAAGACTAAAAAAATTCAGAGATCTTGCAGAACTGCTTGGGGTGGAAGCCAAAAGTTCTTTACAACTAGATGTTCCAACAAGATGGAACAGCACCTACATGATGCTTAGCACTGTCATACAATACAAGGTTGTGTTTGATGCATATTCATTGAATGAGCCCTCATTTGCTGCTGATATGGGTGATTCTGTCCCTTCTTTTCTTGACTGGACATCTGTTGAATGTTTGGTAGTTCTGTTGAAAGGGTTTTATGAGATGACAATTAGAAACTCTGGTTCTCTATATGTCACCTCTAACAATTTCTTCAGTGAGATATCTAATTTGAGTTGCATGTTGAGTAGCATGATTGTTGCTGGTAGTGCTACAGAGGTAATGATTTTATCATTTTCAGTGGTTAATATGATTATTTATGAATTTGTGTTTGGCTATTTGTATTTAATTCATTGTTTTCTTAGGTTATGGGATCCCAAATGAAAACTAAATTTGAAAAGTATTGGGGAGATCCTGAAAAAATGAATTCATTGATCTTCTTTGCCAATATCTTGGACCCAAGAGATAAGTTGGAATATATGTCATACCAGTTTGAGGAACTGTATGGTAAAGATAATGGGAAGAAGTATTTAGAGAATGTCCAAGCTGCCATGGTAGAATTGTTTGGTGACTATGCAGCAACCTACTCTGTCAATGTGCAACAATCATCTTCTGATTCATCTTCTGGTAGCCAACCAGATGTGCCTCCTATCCAGTCTCATACCACAATTGGTAGACCTCAAAATATGTTAAAGAACAAACTAAAAAGGCAAAAAATGGAGGCTAGTGGAAGCTATAAAGAAACAGAACTTCAAGTCTATTTAAGTGAAAAAATTGTGGAGGACACTCCTGACTTTGATATCCTTAGGTGGTGGAAGCTAAATAGTGAGAGGTTTCCTACTCTCTCCAAAATGGCAAGGGATATCCTAGCAGTTCCTATTTCCACTGTTGCCTCGGAAAGTACATTTAGTACTAGTGGGAGGGTATTAGATGCATTTAGGAGTTCTCTAACTCCTAAAATTGTGGAGGCCTTAGTATGTGCACAAGACTGGATGAGGTTACCAAATCAACCAGTTAAGGTTGAGGAAAATATTGATGATGTTGAAAAGCTTGAACAAGGTAATTTATTTAAATTTGTCATTCTGTTTTTACCTTTTTAACTTTGCATTCAAATTCTAATTTATTTGTTTCTAACTTTCAATTTGCACTTTGCAGACTTGGCTACTGGAGTAAGTCGATTTGGAACCACAAGATTTGGTGCTGCTGGTTTTCCCCTTCCTACCATTTCTGTAATGTTTTATTTACACTTAATTCTGATTTTATTTTCAATTGTTGGATTTGTTGGATTTGTTGCTGCCTATGGATTAATGGCTTGGTAACTAACTAACAATTCAATTGTTGGATTTGTTGCTGTCTAAGCCTATGATAAGTATGACCCCAGCAGTATCAGCCTACTGCTTATATGAATGTCATCTCATCTGGTAATAACAGTCACTCTACCTTAGTCCCTTATTCTCAAGTGCTCACTGCTCAGTATGTTATTTCTCTTTAGTCTTTACTAATTTGGCTATGATGATGCTTCCACCATTGTCTGAAAACATAGCAATCTGAGCCTTCCATAGTTAAACTTTTCTGCCCAACAGCCCCAATCCCCAAAGTATTTAATTGGTTATATTTAACTTGTGTTTTGTCTTTACACACACTTGTACAGGAAGATCATGAAAGCTGAACTGCTGAGTGCTGAAGGCTGAATAGACGTTATGATTATGGTTTTTTTGTTCACAGGAAGATGTTGATTGGTATTATGCTGAATGCTGAATTGCTGATATTTGAATTTTTTGTAGAGTAAATACCCAAAATGGTCCCTCGACTATAGCTAAATTCACAAATTGGTCCTCAACTTTCAATTTCACCCAATTAAGTTCTTAAGTTTGCAATTTTGACATGATTTGGTCCTCCATCTAATTGACCGTTTGTTGACCGTGATCGACGATCTGCAGAAGAACCTTCAGCTCTCGTCGGAGCACGTGGAGGCCTCCAGGATGACGTTGCACCGGTTCGGAAACACGTCGTCTTCTTCGCTCTGGTACGAATTCAACTACATTGAATCCAAAGGGAGGATGAAGAAGGTGACCGAGTTTGGTAGATTGCTTTCGATAGTGGATTCAAATGTAACAGTGCGGTCTGGAAATACAACCGGAACCTTAAAAAACCGACGATGGACCATGAAATTACATATATATCCTCAAAAATCACAGTCAACAAACGGTCAAATAGATAGAGGACCAAATTGTGTTAAAATTACAAAGTTAAGGACTTAATTGGGTGAAATTGAAAGTTGAGGACCAATTTGTGAATTTAGCTATAGTCGAGGGACCATTTTGGGTATTTACTCTTTTTTGTATGATTATCAGGATTCAATGACTTTGACACTTTGTAAAGCATTTTGCATTTTTTGTCATTTGTAAGTAGTTGACTAGTTGTAACTAAGTACTTTGACTGTTTGACATAAATTTTAGTTAGTTGTTGTTGTTTTTTTTTTTTTTTTTTTTTTTTTTTTTAAAATTTGTTGAATATGAAATCCGAAGTTACCTGAACTATAATCCGAACCGTCCGAAATTCGAATAAAAAAAACCCAAATGGATTATAGTATAAAAAATGTCGGTTAGGGCTTTGATTTATAGAACCGAAATCCGATCGGGTGGACTAGTCCGGAAATCGAACCGTCCGAACCCGAACCGTGCACAGGCCTACTTGATACTCACATCTAATGAGTCACTGAGTCTTGTGATTTACCTTTCCACAATTTTGTACAGGTCCTTGGGGCGAAGAATTTCTCCTTTTGTGGACAAGGAATACGCCAAATATATATATAGTCAGAGGTGTTGTGATTGAGCCTAACTTAATTGTCATCAGAATTCAGAAATATAATTAATTGCAAGGATAATATAATAATGATGTGTAAAAGCATGCATGCATGCATGCAATTCAGCAAGAAGTCAGCCTAGTAAAGGAAATGCATGTAATTATTAAAGCTAATAATTAAGGAGTTTGAATGATATGTTTTGCAAATGACTAATTGTCATTATTGAAGGAGATTGAACAAATTTTTTATAGTTGAAATAATGATACAGTAGTACTTTAGGGAACGTTTTCTATAGGCACTGAACGCCTCTTTTAGGTGCTTAATTATGTGCTCCTTAATTAGCCTAATAATTATATTGCCAAAGAGACTTTATGATCTGGTCTGATTGCAAGACTTAACTCTTCCACTATCAAAAAGTGATAATATATAGCGATTAATGTAGACAAATCGTGGTGAATAAAGAAAATAATGATTGTAGATGGTTGCATAGTACAAGTTAATAGTTGACGGTGGATATATAGGGGAGTGATAATTATTGTAATAGAGATAGTGATGGTGGAGCCATGGAGGTAGTCCGTTAATAGTGCATATATGCAAGTAAAATGATGGTTAAGTTACTTAAGTGCCAAAATTAAATAGTCAAGTAGGTAATTAAAGATGATAGATAAGCGAAGTGAAAATTTACAAATAATAATTATGTCGATTAAAAGTGAATTTATATATACTAGTAATTGTTCCGTAAGATGCACAGGCTATTATTAATTTAATAAATTTATCAATTAAATTTTTGATATCCAATTGAGGTTTAAATGAATATATACATAAATTATAGGCTCAAGTGTCAAATCGCACCATGAACCAATTGCGATTTGTCATGTCGCACCATGATCTATTATAAGTGATGATTCGATACACAAACTAAAAAAATTTTGTCACTTAGAACTTTTTGCAGGTTTCCTACAAGTTGTAGGTAATAATAGGCTGATGTGGAGTTTTTTTTTATTAACCTATTTTAAATAATTATTAAATGTATGACATGGCATGCTTGTTTTTTGACTTTTTTTCACTCGCACAGATTGTTGAACACCCAAAACTGTTTTTCCATCTTCTTCGGCGCATCCATTTTTGAGCATATGGATTCAGTGCAGCTGCGACGTATCGTACGCCTTCGGTATCTACTCCCCCGTCCTCAAATCTTCCCATGAATACGATCAATCCACCGTTGACAGCGTATCCGTCTTCAAGGACATAGGCGGCCAACGCTGACATTCTCTCCGGCCTCCTACACTCTGCCGTCTAAAATTCCAGCTCCCCCGCAGAGGCCCCTGGTTGGTCCACCTCGCCGGAGCAAGTGATTGAGAAAATACTCAAAGCAAGTGATTGTGTTCCCATGCAACCCAGTTTCAATAACCACTACTGTATTATATGTTTTTTTTGGCATCTTACATTCTTATGCAACCATTCATCTCAGCTTGTCGATTGCTTTGAACATTCATCTAAGCTTATCCCCAAGTGATTGCTTTGAACATTCATCTCAGCATATCTATTTCTCTCTAGCTGAGGCGCAATGAACGCGGTGTCGAGCACTCCGCCGGAATTGAACCAAGGTAATTGAGGATTAACCTTCTTCGCGGTATTTACCAAATCGAGTTTTTATTTAGTTATTTTTTTGTGCTAGTGAACGTCGGAGAAAGCGATTCAGATACGAACTCCGACGAAGCTCCATAATACTATCAGCCAATCTCCTCGGGCGACGGAAATGACGAGGACGAAGAATTCTTTGATCAACATTCAAATCTTGGTGGCAGAGATCGAGATCCTTCCTTCTTCTTCCTCCAGATTTTCTTGATTTCCCGTCGGTGTTGCCGCCGTGGCTGCGAGGGAGTAGTTGCTGTTGTCGCCGTGGTCGAAGAACAGGCGGTCGGACCTCACCGCTGTCGAAGAAAAGGGGTTCACATCAGCACATTGAAAAAAATGAGATGAAAATAGGAATTGACTTTAATAAAAGGTCCACGTCAGCAGATTACCGGTTCCATGTCATCCGAACAACAGGGAAACCTGCAAAAAGTTCTAAGCGACAAATTTTTTTTAGTTTGTGTTTCGAATCATCACTTATGAAAGATCATGGTGCGGCATGACAAATCACAATTGGTTCATGGTGCGATTTGACACTTGAGTCTAAATTATATTAAATATAAAACTTTACTAATAAATGTGAACACATAAATGCATTCATGTTCCTAATGCATTTATATTCCTAATGTGAACACATAAATTTCTTTTCATGCCAAACTTACACCTTTTCCAATCAATTTAAAACATTTGATTTTTTTCTTTGGAACCATTTTTGTTAGAAAACAAATTTCTTTTCATGCCAAACTTGCACCTTTTCCAATCAATTTAAAACATTTGATTTTCTTTGGAACCATTTTTGTTAGAAAACAACAGATATATACATATACAATAATGAAAAAAAAAAAAAAAAAAAACTAGGACTAACTCTATTACATTGTAATTCGATCTCATAATCTCCCACATGAGAAAGGTCATTACATGTCATCTGAGCACAAGGTGCTTGACATATCTTTCTTCTTTTTTATTTTTATTTTATTTTTTATATAGAGAAAATGACAATTATAATCCCCTAATTATGGTGAAACAATTGACTCAGCCCCTCATTCGCCTCAATTATTGGGGCATTATCCATATTCTGTCCCTCAATATATATTATGTCATTGAAAGACTATATCCGTCATCGAGATAACAATTGAATGACTAAATTTGAATGCCCTATTAATTAGAGGATTGAGTCAATATATCTATAATTGGGGGACTAAAAACGTCATTTTTTTTATTTAGAAAATTTAGAAAGCATTATTCTTTTATAATAAGTTGGAAAATAATGCATTTTGTATTAAAATTTATAAATTGATAAATAATTGATTCTGAATAGGATTCCATGTTTAAATAATAGAGTTTTAAAGGTTGGGACATGGAATTTCCAAAAAAAAAAAAAAAGTTGGGACATGGACAACCTATCTAACTTTCTACCGTTAGCGATTATTGATTGGATCGCATGATGAAAATATATACATGGATGGTACAAGACATTGTTGAGTGAGTTTGACATGATGTTTGGATTGACAAATGCATAAATCAACAGTGGTAATGAGATACCTCTTCCATAACTGGAAAAAAGGCAGATTTGCACATCCATCATCTAAGTACAATTCTCACAAAAGGGACTAGGGGTGAGTCCCTTTGACCCATTTTAGAGCTATTCAATCGTTATGCTGTGGATACGATTCTATATTCATAATTACTGAACTATATGTTCATAATTATAAAACTATATATTCATAATTTTTGAACTTCATATTTACAATTATTGAATCTCTATATTCATAATTACAGAACTATATATTCATAATTATGTTCACAATTCAAAAATCATAATTATAAAAATATATTTTCATAATTTTTGAACTATATATTCATAATTATGAACAGTTTTGGAACCACAAGGTAGGCACGGTTCCACGGCATAATTTGCCAAAGCAATTCTATTGAACGTTTTTCAACTCCGATATTTTTTCTTTAAGAAGAAGAATAAGAAAAAAGAGAAAGTGAGGTGGCAAAGTAGAAAAATGTTAATGTTCATATACTAAAATATTATTCAAGAATCCTATCAATGAGGTTGCTCTTAGTATTTCCAACTTATCAAAATTAATGATTTTTTTTATTTTTTATTTTAGATTTAGGTGCGTGGAGAGACTAATTAGTGTATAAATTGAGTTGCTACAAGGTTCGAAAATTTTTAACTAAGTCTCTCTGTATTTGATTTCTCCCGTAGCAAACAACATTTGTAGGACTTTATCACAATTT